CTGATGGGTGTCCACAAAGACAACCGCAGATATCGACTACCAATCCATACGCACGACACGGAGAACCTGATTATTCCCGACGAGTTTGACTCCCGAACCCAATGGCCTAACTGTCCGTCCATTAGTGAAGTGAGAGACCAGGGATCTTGTGGTAGGATTTCCCATATCTTATACGCCAATCCATTCACCACTGCATACCCGTCCCATTAGGCTCGTGCTGGGCGTTCGGCGCCGTGGAGGCCATGTCTGACCGCATATGTATTGCATCGAAGGGCCAGACGGTGGTGGAGGTGTCGGCCGAGGATCTGGTGTCATGCTGTCACTCGTGTGGGTTCGGGTGTTCGGGGGGTTTCCCGGGCGCCGCCTGGAGTTATTGGGTCGGCACGGGTCTGGTGTCGGGCGGACTCTACAACAGCCATAAGGGGTGTCAGCCCTATGTGATCGCCGCCTGTGAACACCACACGACCGGTAAACTCAAGCCCTGCGGAGATATTGTGGTATTTATGAACATTAACTACATTTGGATATTAATTAATAAACAAATGATTGATATCTGACAGCCGACCCCCAAATGTGTACACCTGTGCGAAACGGGCTATAATGTGAGCTACAGTCAGGACAAGCATTACGGGGCCAAAGCTTACGGCATCGGTAGTAACCCGACTCAGATCCAGGCGGAGCTCATGGCTAACGGGCCCGTCGAGGCTGACTTCACCGTCTACTCCGACTTTGTTACCTATAAATCAGGTTTATATACCACCCCCCCCCCATTCCCTGCTACGTAATGATTGAAAAGTTACTTATAACCCTGAACAATTCATAAATTATCTGATAATGTTGTGAACCAATTGCAGGCGTTTATCAGAGACACAGCTCCCAGGAGTTGGGCGGACACGCCATCCGGATCCTCGGGTGGGGCGTCGAGAATAGCGTTCCCTATTGGTTGGCGGCTAACTCGTGGAACTCTGACTGGGGTGACCAGGGTTATTTCAAGATCCTCAGGGGTCGTGATGAGTGCGGTATCGAAAGCGATATTAACGCCGGTTTACCCAAAGTTTAAGAGTTTTACGATATTTTAATAGATTTATGATTACAATTAGGGGCTATTCAATAAGGACGTGCACTAAACATAAATTTGTTGTACTTTACGTACTTATTGAATGATTAATTATCAAGTGATTTGTTAATATTTTATTGAATTAATGATAGATGTAGTGAAGAATTAATTTTTTAGATTTTATTAATGACATTGAATTAATGAATTATAAGCAATGTCAATTTGTAAACTAACTGTTAACCTGGTGTTTAAATAAACTGCACGATAACATAATACAGATAACATGTGAAGTGTGGATGATTTACAAATATTTCTCAATTGTTTCTATACTTTAACATTTGATTTAATGGTATAAAAACTTAATCATATCATTGTGATCACGACTAGTTTTATAAATAATTTAAATATGCTCGAAATAATTTTTGATAAAATATTGCTAAAAATAGTTACATTAATAATTAAAATATTTATTTTATACAGTAACACAAAAAACTTTAGTACATATTGTACTATTAATACAGTATACAGTTTAGAGATTAAATACGGTACAAAGTATACAAATACAATGTCATGAGCCAGGTCATCCAAATAATTCAGTGCATATACTGTAAATGTTAAATATAAATTAAAAACAATTGATATAAGGTACAAAATTGAGTAGATATTGCAAAACAATTGTATTGAAAGTAAAGTATTTGATGTGAAAAACATAAGTCATTCAAGTCATGGGATATTCTTGTTATC